AAAAAAAAAAAAAAAAAAAAAAAAAAAAGAAGGTAAGAAAAAGCCCTGATTTGTGGTGTTACTAATTTTGATGGTGTTAAACACCCTTACTGAAATTGACCATACCAATTTCAGGCTATTGACATCACTGCATGCAGCACTGGGAAGAGATGGGCATAATCCGCTCTCCTGAGCTGACACCAGCACATCCTGCGCACCCCAAAGTAGGAATGAGCTAACACCAGTGAAAAGCTGTGTGACTCTAGTCAAGTGGCTTAACCTCTCTGAACTTCAGGCTTTCTATCTGTACAACAGGGACAGCAATAACACCCACTTCAACATCAGGTAAGTGACATAATCTAAACGATCAACAATGTTTTGAGCACCTACTATATGTAGGGCTCTGTACTAGGTAGGCACGAGGGAATAACAATGGTGACAAAACAGATACGAGCCTCTGCCCTCCTAAACCTTACTTCTTGCAGCAAAAGCCCTGGCACAGTGGCTAGAATGTAGCACTCAATAAATATTAGCTATAATATTAGCTAATAATACCAATGGTATTATCGTCGTCATTATTATTCCTTCCTTTCTTTGAGCCTCAGTTTCCTCATTTACTTAGAATGTGGACTGAGCAAAAGCTTTCAGTGATGCCCCCTCACTCGAGCCTATGGTGGTAAAGTGGGCATTACCAACCTCACTTTATGGAAGGGAAAACTGTGGCACTCAGAACTGAAGCCAGGCTGGGGATCTAAACCCAGTGCTTCTTACTCCTGGTCTCCAGATCATTCCCACCTTCTAGGACCTAGGAAACATAAAAAGGGCCAGGCATTCGACTGGGGATGTGAATGCTTTAAAAATACTCTTCCTTCTCCATGCCTCATGGGGGGAAACTGAAGTGTCCATGTTGTGCACCAATTTCCAAAATACCCTCTAGCATGACGGCCTTGCAGTGCTGGGACCATTCCCAGTCTCTCTGGAAACCCCGATCCTAGCGCCTCTGGCAGAGTCTGCAGGACGGTGGGAGCTGATGAAATCCCCTTGCAACAAACAGCCCCAATCACATGTGTTAAAAGCAAACCAGCTGGACTTTAGGAGGCAAAGGCCCCATGTGGGCATCGTCTCCCTCCTGCAGAAGAACTGTGAGACTGTCCCTGGGAATAAACCCAGTGTCCCAAAACACTATAGGTTCCACTCCCCTGTAAGTAAACCAGGCTTGAGCCCCCTCTAACAGATGGGTAGCCATTCTGTTTTATTAACAAAACAGCCCCCAGATAAAACCCACCAACTCCAGAGGAGGCTCCTGGAAAAGTCTTTTGGGAAGTCCCTGTGTGTATCTAAGTTCAGTCTTTCATGCTTCAGTTCCAGCCCATTTCTTCTTCTGTTCTAGAGGACAGGAGCAATGTCTCTTTTCACTGCAGCCTGTCTCAGCTTCCCTCTGTTCCGACATAGCCCGGATTTGTTATCAGCACTTTTCCCTTCCGACTATCTCAGAAGCAGGTTTTTAAACATAGGTAATGATGGGCTCCAATTCGTCATTTCTTTCAACAAAAGCCCGGGAAAGGAGCTTTGAAAGTGTCGCCCAAGGTCACGCAGCAAGCAAACTCTGGCTCTGCCTGTGCCAGCCCCATCACACTGGGGAGAGCCCAGCTCTGCACCTCCCTGCTGTGCGCCCTTGGGCCAATCACGACCCTTCTCTGGACTTCATTCTCCTCTATGTGTACCAAGAGGGAACTGGGCATATTTCTGCAGCTCGTTCAGTTCCTACCATTGTCAGGCTGCCTACCCGACACTGGCCCTTGTTCTACCTCCCACCCCGTGACAAAAAGAGGAAAAGAAACTTGCGTTAGGCGTGCGGGAAGGGCGCGCAGCTCCGAGGGCCGCCAGGCTGCGCGGATTGTTGCTGGGTGAACGAATCTCACACAAATCCCAGACAGAAGAGCCCCACCTCTCCAGTAACCACAGCAACACGGGCCACGCCTCCAGCCCAAACACTGGCCGAGGCCCCGCCAAGGCCCACCCCCGAGCTCCCCCAGGACCCCTCCCCTCCCTGCCACCAGCCCCAGCTGGAGCGAGAAAAGGCCAACGCCCCCATTGTGCAGAGGTGGAGACTGAGGCCGGAGGGTGGAGACTGCGGAACCCCGCGGCCGGCAGGGTTTGGACCGGGGCCCGGATCGCCAGTCCAGGGCTCCCTCCCATTCCCGGAGCCGCGATGCGTCTCCTTCGCGTGCGCGTGGTGTTTCCACGTGGAAAAGACCGAAAGCAGCGCCGTCCCAGTGGAACGGAGCCCATTGGTGCTGTCCACTCTCCCTCCCCATTCTCCCGACGGAGAAACTGAGTCCCAGCGAGGGGCCGGGACCACCCCGGACGCACTGCGAGCCCCTCCCCACGCCTCACCTGCTGGCAGCCGCCGCGCGCGGGTGGTTTCCTGGAGTTGAGCGGCAAACAAAGGCCTCCAATCCGGGCGCGGGGCGGGGCGGTGGCTCCTTTGCAAAATCCCAAGCCCCGCCCATGACGGCGGGGAGCGGCCCAGGGGGCGGGGCCTCTGGGAGAGCACCAATCGCAGAGAGGCGGCTGCCACGGCCCGCCCCCAGGGACTGGGACGCGGGGAGCGCAAACCCTGCTGCCAGATGAAAATGTCGGACCTGGGAGGCTGTGCGTCCTCACCGCGATCAGCCCCACCGCTGCCCTGGAGATGGAGGCCTGGTGTGCGGAGGGTAAGACATTTATGCAAGATCGCACAGAGTGGCTCACGCCTGTCATCCCAGCACTTTGGGAGGTCGGGCGGATCACCTGAGGTCAGGAGTTCGAGACAAGGCTGGCCAACATGGCGAAACCCCTCCCACCACGTCTCTACTCAAAATACGAAAATGAGCTGGGCATGGTGGCACACATCTGTAATCCCAGCTACTTGGGAGGCTGAGGCACGAGAATCGCTTAACTTAGGCGGGGGTTGCAGTGAGCCAAGACTGGGCCGCCGCAGTCCAGCCTGGGCAACAGAGTGAGACTCCATCTCAAAAAAAAAAAAAAAAAAAAAAAAAATCGCAGAGAGCCACAGTGAGGAGGAAATCACAAACTGTCATGGCTGAAACAGACTGGTTAGTAACAGTAATAATAAACTTTTCTTGATCACTAATTACAGGTCAGACCTGTTGGAAGCTCTTCTGCTGCTCAGTCGTCTCCTGTGAGGTAGTAGGTATTATCATCTCCCCCTAAGTATATTCTAGTCCAACCCCCCTCCGTCAGGCAAGCATGGAAATCCAGCCCGGAGACGGACAAGAACTTTTCCAAGGTCCTGCTGTGAGTGCAGCACAGACATCATCCCTTGTCCATCACACAAACACCCCAAAGGACGGGGATGCACAGTGTCCAACTCACCTGGGCTCTTGCCCCAGCTCTGCCACCTGCTGTCAGTGAGCCTCAGGCAAATGGGATTCATACCCACACCTTATACAGTTGCTGAGAGTAAATAAACAAACATAATGGCAGGCCCGTAAGAAATAAATCAGTGGTACTGATTTAAAGAGCACCTTGACTGACCCTATTAACACAAGAGGGTTAATAAAGTCCTGTTGAAGAAGAGACTTGCCCAAGGTTCCTCATCCAGCTGCATCCAAAGTTGAATGCTTTGGAGTTTTTCCTCCTGGTAGAAAGCACTTGCCAGTTCCCCAGGTTGCCCGTTGCTCCCTGGACACGCATCCAGTAGTAAGTTTAGCAGCAGCTTTCACCCACTAAGGACCAGCTCTGTGCCGGGGCAAACATTTTAGCTAATCCTTCTGGGCTCTGGCTCTGAAATGTCAGGGTAGGACGAACCCCAGGTGTTTTTCCACACAGGTCATGGAAGTGAACTGTGTTCCTGGGTTCCTAAGCAGCATGGCAGTCCTGTCTGACTCTTGAACAGAAGGGGAAACTGAGGCTTGGTGCATTTTGTAACCTGCCCAGCATTCTCCAGGAAGGGAGAAGCAGACCCTGCAACTCTCCAATCATCCCCCCCACACACACACCTCCCACTTTCGTATCATGAGTAAAGATGCCAGGGTCACAGGTACATGTGGCCAGGGTGGACCTCTGACAACCCTTCCCCCACCCTCCCAGTACTTGAAGCTGCCTTAGCCCACCACACTTAAAACGACACCAGGACAGGTGCAGGGAAGAGCAGACCCAGGCTTCAGGCAGCAGTGGGTCCAAACTTGTCCTCTCTAGCTATGTGACTTTGGACAACGAGCTGGACCTTTCTAAGTCCAATTGCAAAGGAAAATTTTAAAATCCTCACACCCAATGGGCTGCAGCCTCAGAGTCGGGCCCAGGAATTACAGAAGCAACAAGTCCAGAAACTCATTCTTGTCCTACTCCTCCCAAGTACAGACATGGGGCTGTGAGTGGCAGCTGCTGGGGGCAGCAGCACCCTTGTGTTAGTTTCCTGTGGCTGTTGTCATAAATTAAAACAACACAAATGCCTTCTCTTACAGAGGGCAGAAGTCTGAAATCAGTCTCACTGGGCTCAGGTCCAGGTGATAGTGGGACCGTTTCCTTCTGGAGGCTCTGAGGCGAGAATCCACTTGCTTGCCTTTCTCTGCTTCTATTGGCTGCCTACATTCCTTGGCTTGTGGTCCTTTCCTTCATCATCAAAGCGCATCACTGCAACAACCTCTGCCTCCATGATCATACCTTTTCCTTTTCTGTTACATCTTTCTCTGCTTCCCATTTATAAGAGCCTGATGATTACACTGGGCCCACCCCATCTCAGGACCTTAACTTAATCATGTCTGCAAAGCTCCTTTGCCATATGAAGTAACATTCCAAAGTTCCAGGAGTTGGAATCTGGGTATATTTGGGAGTCATTATTTAACCTACCAAACCCATTTTACAGATGGGGAACTTGAGGCTCAGAGAGTTAAACTACTTGCCCATGACCACACAAACTTTGGAGTTGAATGCCAGGAGATCTGAGGCCTGACAAAGCCTTCCTGTAGCTAGGTGGGGGATCATTCCCTGCAGAGGGGCCACAGCGCCCTGTGGGGGAATGGCAGGGGTGCCTTCAGAAACACCAGCTGCCTCAGGGGAATCTATGGCTCAAGTCTCAGGTGGTCTGCCCAGGCTGGAAAGAGAACAGGGACAGCCAAGGACAGGATCTGGCACAAGAACATGGAACCAACTATCCCTAACCCACCTCTGGCAGAACTGGACACAGGACTGGACAAAGCAGGATTTCTCAAATTCTTCGTCTTCCAGACAAATACTGAGGACGGAAGGAATGAACCCTGGGGCTGGGACAGAGGCGGTACCGTGGCGGTACCACAGACTGCGTTTGCTACCTTTTCCTCCCCACCCGCTCCATAGGTTTTGCTCTGACACCCACTGCCCTTGGCTACTGGAACAGCTTGGCCTACACAGGTAGAGAGAAGTGACTGGGAATTTATAGCCTCTTCCCATGGCCTTGTCCAAAGACTGACAGGCATGAAAGCCCGGCCCTCTGGCCTTGAGTGGAGACAACTCTAGGCCTAGTGTACACCATGGGGTCCTCTTGGGATCAGGCTGAAGCTGCCCTCTGCGGA